TGAAATGATATATAAATGATTCTAAGTAATATATCTAAACAAAAAGTAGTTTTCCATGTTTGATTAATGTATAAGAATATAATGAGACCTTCAAATTATGATTTTGAATTAAGTTAGCTTACAAGAGAAGTAAGTGGAAATTGATCTGCGAAGTGATGTAACCTTGCATTCGTGCGATACAGCAAGAAATGTACGTAATGTTTTACTTAATGTATATAATATTTTATTTAATTTCTGTAATATTTTACTTAATAATTTATCAACGTCGAATAAAAGTTTAGCCGTCGTGTCTGCATCCTCTTTTGGTGAAGATTGACAAAAAGAAGAATACATTATTATATAAAAACATTATCATTTAAAGTATTACTAATTATAGTATCGATTAAAGTTATTTAGCTAAAACTACAATAAAATATGGTCATTCGTTCGCTGTATAAAATCATTATAAACTATTTTATTTATTTTGCTTTTTTAGCAGTTGATTTCAGAGCGTATTTATGACATTTGTTAGCTTATATTAATTGATATTGACTTTTTAGCTGATACTTTTAACTAAAATATTATATAACCAAAAAACATCCTTAATAAAATTCTGACGAACTATATATAATTCTAACTTCTTAGTATTAAAGATGAATGAAAATCCATGTAATCCATGAAATCAATGTAATTGTACACAATATATTATTGTATTATATTATATATATATATATATATTATATATATCTACATTGATGTTATGTTACTACTAATTGATGTTTCCTAAGAATAAAAGACTTGTTTGAAGGTTAAATGAAGAATATTTTGTTAGCATTTGAGATGCACTGTTGGCATTAAAATGGTTGAAATTCTTTGCGTTCCAAATTATTTAATATTTAATTTTTGTTTTGTTGACATCAGAAGTGAATATTGAATGTGTCCTGATGTAAACAAGCCACACTATTTTGACCCATTGGAGTTTATTAAACATTCCATTGCTCTCAGTTTCTCATAAAAAGCAAGCGAGAATGCATACATTTAAATAGCGCACATCTTTCTTTTGGAAGATATTTTATCGCGATTTTCGATGACGCAATTACATATCATTCGCACAAAGAAATATTTAATTATTCATATCGAGTTTACGCGAGAAAAATGTGGCATATTTACACATATAATTTAATTAGCACCCGTCTATAATTATGTTTAATAATACTTCTCAATATCGCTTCATATAACAGAGAAGAAATTCTGGAAAGGCGCTTTCGATGCAGAACTAACATTTCGTCAGGTCTTTTCGAAAAGTCATTTACGTTAAGGGGATGATAATGACGATTTGAAGATCATAATTCTTGGAATGCACCGTTCTTATACGCAAAAATGGCAGACCGCGATTTGAATTAAAAACGCTGAGTCAATGAGTAGCGTGATTAATCATTGTCATTATCATTCAGCAACGTCAAACACATCTGACACACCTTAATTGATATAACATCTATATATATAATTATTTATTAAATATAACATACGATCTAGTTATAGAAAAGTTTTTACAATTATTTTTTTAACATTAGTAATTAAAACATGTTTACATTAATATCGAGAAAATATTTATAATATATTTATAAGTGTTATAATATATTATACAGATTGATATTGGAATTAATATAAAAAATTGTAGATAATACTTCGTACTGTAAATGTGTGCTGAAACTATTAAGTTCCAAGATCATTTTCGGTATAATAGTGTTAATTTGATTATGCTCTTGACCTAGAAGTTGCGCGATATTTTTACGCTTTATTTAAATGATGAAGATCGGACTTCTGTCCTTTCTTCTAGTCCTGTTGTTTTTCTATATCTTTTAAAAAAAGATTTATAAATCATCGATTGTAATATAAATAACGGCATTGCTGTGTCATTAATATTATGTATTTTTTTCTTACAAAGCTGTAAATGCGTTTGTTATATTTACATTTGTATCATAACTGACTCGATATCTTAAACTGAAAATTCAGTCGAGGCAGGCTCAACCATCGCGAATTTGATACGTTTTGATCACGTTTTAAAAGTATGCGGAATTAAAAAAGACATAGAATTACACATGTAACGGAGCAGAAATTCTTATACGTGTTGCGTAAAAAGAATTGCACGTAATGTGAACGGTAAACATTTCAAGAACATTTTGATTTGACGTTCGTGTCGTACAACTTTTAAGATTATCTTACTGTGTACTTTGCACTTAAGAACAATTAAAGCATCATGATAGCTTAAACAAACTATTCGCACATTAAATATTCATATATTTAGATGTAAGCATACAACAGATAAGTTAAATAATACAACAGATTTACCACGTGCTTTTTATGATTTTTGTATTAACAGAAACTATATATATATATGTATATATGCACACACACACACACACACACACACGCACGTACGCACGCACGCACACACATATATATTTGCTCTAACACAAATAATTTTTACATCAATTATAGAAGGGAGAGAAGGAGAGATATTTTTAATTTGAAATATCTCTCTTTTTCCTTCTGTGATTGGTATAAAAATTATTTATGTATAATTGGATGCTTTCCAGTAAGATACAAATGACACATTGAATTATTATATCCTTTGTTTGTCAATGTTACACAAAAATTAAACAGTTCACTGTTACATTGTATCATTTGTGTCTCTTGTTAAAAAAAAAAACATCCATTATCTCAATAGCAGAATTAGAACGCATTTTGTGAAAGAAAATCTGTAGAGATACTAGCTTTCTGCTTTGTGTCACATATCGATATCTTTTAAGAGAACTTTTAAGAAAATTCTATAATTAAAAAAATTCTTATCAATACTTTACATTTTTTCCTCGTATGCTAATAAATAAGGATTAATTCGAGGAGGGATTTAATTGAACCTTGATCAACCGGTCTTATAAGGAAAAAAAAAATCTATGCATATGTATCTTGCATCTACGGGAGATATTATCGATTCCCTGGATGCTGCGCCATTAAAAGATGCTGCCGTCGCCCGCATTTCCGCTCGTCACTTTAATTAACGAATGTGTACTGCTCTTTTCCATCACCGAGGGAATGTAAATTAGAAGGTATCTTAAGAGACAGGAGTGCATCGCTGATCATCAACGTCTACTTAATAACCTATCAATCATCCATTAAGTGGTGGTTTCTCATACCGATCATTTGTCTCTGCAGTTAGCATCTGATTCAGAGCTGTACATTTTTTTCTGCAACAATCTCTATATTTTTCGTAACTTAATAAAATAAATTAGCAGAAATTTTGAAATAAAATTGAATTATTAAAGCTTTGAAAATATAAAATACAAACAGTTTGAATTATATATTTTTTTGTTATATATATTTTGCAAGAAACATCTAGTTCCAAAATATAAAATTTAATTAATAAATTATAGAGATCCTAGGTTTATATCGCTCATTTGTCATAACAAAAAAAAAACAAAGTAAAAATAGTAAAAAAACAGAGTTTTTCAGAAAATAAGTTTAAATATTTTAAATAATTAAAATTTTGTAATATTAATTTTAAAACGTTCAATAATTTTTGTGCAATAACTGATTATAAAGAAATAAAAATATGTTCTTTTAAAACATCTTCTGTCTTTTTCTACTCTTTTTTATTTTATGGTATTTAAAAACCATTTTTAAATTGTAGCAAATAAGCAATATTACTTACTGAAATTTTTTCAATTGTACGAAAATCGATATTAGTTTATTTTAACTAGTTTTTCTCTTTCGAATTTATTCATTTTCATGTAGTCACCGCTCCCATTATCAGCTGGATCCGGGGAAGTACTCGATCGCTTTCTGTCCACTTACAAGGATCACGAACTCGACGGGATATCCCCACGAGTGCATCAAACGGGTATCCTCGTCGGCTGTAAAGAATTTTTAAGGACGTGCGACCAGCCTGCCTTGAGCAGGCTCGTCGTCGCAATTGCCGCCGCCGTCGTCGTCGTCGTCGTCGTGATGTGTGTCCCTCCGCGATCAGTCCCGACCGATTTGTGAAAAGGTGGAGGGATGGTGAATGCATACGATGATCGTATAGCGCAAAAAGACATGCGTCTTCTCCGACCGGCACACGGGAAAGAATCGTTGACCGCGGCTCCTCCAGCCAAGGTCAGGCATCACCTCTTTTTCTTCTGCCCCTTCCTCCTCGCTACGAGGAACTTGGAGCGGAGCTACAGTGACCATGGTCCAAGTCGTATCACCCAGCCTCGTCTTTGTTATCGCACAAGCGTGAACGTGTTCCGGAGGCAGTGGAAATAAATAAGAACTAGGGACGAGGATATTTTTTTTCTTAAGTGTATTTGTAGTAGATCCAGTATAAACGTATTCAAGCGAGACGTGCTTGGTGTATATATACCCATCATTAGCTATATCTAGCATAGAGTTATGCGCAAATAGATATGTTATAGGTGTTTTGAAAGAATAGTTTCATTTTCATCGAGAGCACGTTTTCTTCAAAACTATTTATTGCTTATTCATAGTACTATTACATGAGGTAGCTAACAGTTGCATACAGGTAATGCGTGTACGATATACTAAGATAATGTAAAATTAATATTCTGACGTAAAACTTTAATTACACTTGCCGTTGTAATAGGTTTTTTGTTAAAAAACATTTTTTTGGCACTTAAAAAGTGTATCAAATATTAAAATAGAGATAACTCAAATGAGAATCATCAAAAAATATCTCAATACATTTTTGAATTACGTTCCTATAATCCTAATTACAATGAATATTTAAAAAAATAAAATTTGTATTTTGTTGTTCAGTCTTATTAAAACTAAATTTAAAACATGTTTTTAACGTCATTACAATTATTATGTTATTATGCATTTTAAAAATCATTTACTAAAATTCTAAAATGCATAATAACATAATAATTAAAATAATTATTCTTAAAATAAAATTATTCTTATATTAATAGAAATTATATGAATATTGTAATATAAAAGGTATCACATATTAATACCTGTGCTAATGTGAAGTCATTCTTCTTGTATGAGAGTGTACATACTTATATGATTTCTAATGAATTTATGTTATATTAAGTTAAAGCATATTCACATGTGTTAATATGCGATAACAAATCTGATGAACTTTGACATATCATCAAGCATTTTGGACATCGCACAAAGTTCTGCAATCAAGTTGATATATGTTAGTTTACATTTGTAGCACAATTGTTTTCAATCTAATGTATTTAATTACTTTGATTAAAAATAAACTTATAACATATAGTGTTATGTCCAATATTTTGTTGTGCGATATCACATCGCATATTAAAAAGCACATTAAATTAATCATTTAAATAAGAGCAAAAAAAATGTATAGGGCTGTGACAAATGTTGAGCAGTTTCTGTAAATTCTGTTCGCGTAGTACGATATCTAATGTATGCCATTTCGTATATCTTATAAGTAGTAAAATAATCGTGTACAATTAAACAACAACTGAATAACACTAATATAATGAGAAAATAAAGATAGGAATTACATATTAAAATTCTTGTTATCAAATTAAAATGCATATTATATATAATAATTAATTTCCTTACATTCTGCAATTTATATCCAATGTCAATGCAAAATGCCATTTAAAAAAAAGGTACTGATAAACTTGAATCCTGGATTATTATCAATATCTGTTTATAATACAACATAATAATAACCATATTTCTCAGAATAATCAAGGAGTATTTATAAAGAATTGTGTAAAATACATTTCAATTAAAAAAAATTAAAATACTACATTTATATGAATAGATTTACTTAACATTAAAATTATACTTTATTATAATTATAAGAAAAATTTGAGAAAAAATTTATAAAGATTTTAAAATTTGGTACATCTACTAAAACATACATATAATAGTACTAATTACTTTGAGTAATATTGTTGACTACACGTAACTTATAATAATTTAGTAAAAAGCGCAATTGTATCCTTAAAAAGACAGAGAGAATGAGAAGAAAACGAAAGAAAATAATCCAGGATTAAAGCAACCAACTTAGCAATGCCAACTATACGATACATCAAAAGCGTTGCATACAACTACAAAACTACAGAGAAGCAGTACGACAGAAATAAAACTTATTTATATATTTGCGCGTATACCAATTCCGAAAAAAATTTGAATATTTGAATAAATGTGTAATTATTCACTGTTTCATTGAAAATAAGCGAAAATAATTCCGAAAATTATTCGACCGCTTCTCTCGTACAGTGGCGTTGCCACCTCTTGCATGCCCACTGTATTTGTCACCGCTCTAATGGTAATAAAAAGTAGGAAATGGTCATTTTTATTTTTAGATAAAACGTCACGGTAAATGAATTTAAAGAATTACTTACTCGTTCTTCAAACGTGTGTCCTAACTTAACATTGGCATTGTTAGATTCTTGTAACTGTTTGTTAAACTCTATTTGCTTCAGCAATTCCGTGTCCAATTTATTTTTTTCTTCCAACAACGCTTCTTTCAGTTTCTTCTCCTGTTGAAAATCTTCTTCGTAAAGCAATAATTGCGATCTTAACAATTGTATCTCTTCCGTCTATAAAAAAAAAACACAGTAATAAAATAATCATAAAACAGTAATATAATACAAATAATCAAATTTAAGATATAATTATAAAATTGATATAGAAATTATACAAATATTTTTAATTAAATTATATAAACCATGTTAGTTTACATTAAGAAAAACTTCACTCACGCTTTGTGCAAGCTGTTCTAATATCTTTTTAAATTGCGCATCTTTCTCCTCAATTTTTTGTCGCAAGCTATTTATTTCACTCAGCAATTGTCCATTACAAGCTTGTAATATTTTTTTTTCATTTTGTAGATCTCTTTCGCAATCTTCATATAACTGACTCTGATGATCAAGTGACATTTTTTCTTCATTTAAACTGATCTTTTCCTGCTCTAAAAGTTTTCTCTCGTCTTGCAACGATACACGTTCCATGTCCAAACTCTTTTTCTGGCTTTCGAAGGATTTTTTTTCATTTTCTAGATTGTTCTTTTCTCGATCGAAAATTTTCTTTTCTTGTTCCAATGATTGCTTGTCGCGTTCCAGTTGCTCTGACGTTTCTAAATTCTCGTGAGCGCTATTATCCTTTAAAATGTTTAATTTTGCGTTTTCGTCGAGCATTACTTGCAATTCATATAGAACAGATTTGTAATCGGAGAATATCTTTTGGAATTGGTTTTGTGATTTTATTAGCGTCTGCCTATCAGTAATAATTTTTATTTGCTCATCAGTTAATTCATTGTAATACTGACATAGTTTTTCTTCACACTGCATTTTATCGTTGTCAAGTCTAAGTATATCCGTAATTTTCTTTAAACTTTTTTCTAAGGCAGCAAAACGTTCTACTTGTTCTACAAAACATTTGGTTAATTCTTGTAATATATCATTATATTGCTTTATATTTTGTACAAATTTTTGATGACTTAAATTGGACGTTTCCAATGAATCTTGTTCAACAGGAGTAAAAACCTGTAAAATTTAAAAGATAATTTGATTTTATTCTTGAATTTAATTGTTAAGATATTTAGTACATTTTTTAAAGAAACATACACATTGCAATTTCCATTCGAGTAGAGCATTGGATTCTTTTAAGCAAGCAATTTCCTGATTCTTTTCAGAGTATGCTCCCGAACATTTCGAACTTTCTGTGGTCTCTACATCACTGTAAAGTTTGCAATTTATTCTGTTATCTATCATCGCCGATTCTAATTCTTTTTCCATTTCTAATTGCTGCAATTTTTGTTTTATTCTGTCATCTATCATCGCTGATTCGAATTCTAATTCTTTTTCCGTTTCTAATTGCGGCAATTTTTTTTGTCCCTCTTTCAATCTCTCCAATTTCTCATCCAATTTCTCCGATATTATAGATGTTATATATTGTTTACACCTATTGATTGTTAAGTTGGATATTTCAGGTACAAGTTCGAAAATGTCCTTGAATATGAAAGAGGATTCTTTTAGCTTTCTATTAGAAATCAAATTGGCCAAATCCTCAGAAACAGATTTACTAATCTGAAAAAAATTAAATGAACGATAGAATTATGTACGATACACATTATATCTCTACATAGAAAAATGCATATTCTATTGCTAAGAAAAATAATTATTCTATTTAATTTCTTTCTTTTAAGTTACAGTTATTTTTAATAAAGAATATATTTTTTTGATAATTTTAAAATATACTTGCCACAAATCTTGAAACATTATTTTACTATTTTGATTAATTAAATATAAATTTATTTTACATTCATTATTACTTAAAACAAGAATTAATTTTCTTTTAAAGAATATTAAAATCGAAATAGTGATTTTATATAATAAGCAAATCGAATTTGTTTTAATTTAATAATCTTTTGATTAAAGTAATAAACTTACTAGGATTCAGAACATTTTGAATAAATTTGATGAACTTATGATAGATTTGTAGATATATGAACTTTTGAAGTACTTGAAAAATGTAATTATTATATTGTGTAATTTTCTGTGTATATACCTTAAGTGTCATATCTTCAAAATGTGTAAATAAGCATGCAAATTTATATTTCAGCTCTGCATTTTCCATTTTCAGATGATTTATAAGTTCTTTAGTTTCTGCGAACTGTTGCTTGTGATTCAGATGAACTTTCGTCACTTCTTCCTGCCACATTGCTAGGGTATTAAACTGTTGTTTCATGGATACATTGTTCTGCCTTAAAGTTTCCTTCAATTTCACATTTTCTTGCAACACTTCTACTAATTTGTGTTGCATCGCAGTTATGGTCATTGACGACACCCATGACTTATAATCCTGTAAGGAAAAAGACATTAATTTTCTATTTTAAAGTAAATGATGAATTGTGAAATAAAGTAGAATTGTGATGCATATACAATTGACATGCTCTTCTGTTGAAGATCGGTGTACGAAGCTAATAAGGAAGCTTGAGCCTCCACTGAATCTGAACCAAGCACTACAAAAGATAGGCTCTCTTCCTCATCATTGACATTAGTCAGTGGATTTACATTTAGAGTTATAGTAACAGGTTCATCTAACTTAAATGAAGGTTCATTTCCTTCAGTAATTTCTTCTGCTTTAGAATCATTAGGCAAAATTGGATGATCCATATTTTGATCAACCAATTAAAATTGCTGGTCAACTTTGCACACAGCAATTATATATCAGCAAGAAATCGTTTAGATTGCAGAAGTTAATTACTTTAACCTGTAATTGTCAATAATATATTATTAATAATTAAAAACGAATGAAGCAATATTATAAGAGACCTATTCCTTTTAGCTGAATTTCTTGCATCGTTTTTCTTTTTTTTTCTCCAATGTAGAAAGAAAAAGAGGAAAGATGAATTATGCAAAAAATTCAGCTGAAAAAAACAGGCATAACATGAATCAGTACATTTCTATCAATGATTTCAAATAGTTTGATATCTGGTATGTATGATATAATTATTCGAAGTGGATGCTGATTGGAATTATTCAATTACTTCCTAGATTTGTACTGTATTCTACAGAAAACGGAATAATTCCGATCAAAGTCCATTTTGAATAATTCCATAATACATACCCTGTTGCTTGAATTTATCCTATTGATCTAGTTTACACCGTTTAGTCTGTGACCCATGACCTAGAATACGATAAATAAACTGCATCGTTGCAATCTTCATATTTGAGTCAAATCAGTCAAATGTAAAATAGGTCACTGACTAAAAGCACGGTATAAACTGCCACTGATAAGCCACTGATGTGGCAATCGTGAAATACTGAAATTACGCTTACAACAATTGTATATGAATAAACCCATACTTATCAGACTCAGAGATTGTGTCAGATAATTCTTTCTGAACCTGCACCAGAATGTACGGTACAGTATTGAGGTTAGGCACCAAAAGCTTGAATAGAATACGGAGTAATCAACAAATGCGCATCAAATGTACGGTCAATTCTTCACGTCCCAACTAGATTGCATTTGTCCTTGTTATGTCAGAAATGTATTTTTAGATTGTTGTAAACAATTCGAAGTTCAATTATATTTATAGAGACTTAAACGATGTCGAATATGAAAATCGTGATATAAATCGTGAAAACACGTGAAACGAGGATCAGCTGTTCGAAAATTTTCAAAAAAAAAAATCATATAATAATGTACGTATACAAAAATACAAGAGCATACGTTACATACATATAGATTTCTCTAGTATATGCGATATTTTTCGAGAATCCTTGTTAAGATTTCAACTCCAGCTATAATTCGTGCGAAAAATAATCGATAAAAAATTAAAATAAGAGAGAAAAAAGTATCAATATTGCTACGTAACGTAGTTTTGCTTACGTTTTATCGATATAATACATGTAAATACTAATTAGCTTGAACTTATTATCTTTATTACGAGCCAACAGGAAAGATGTAATGATGAGAAGTTAAATTTAGACTCACCGTTATAACCAAAGCGTTGGACTATTTCAGACTATTTGCAGCCGCATGTGCATTATTAATTGTTTGAGAAGAGAAGATAACATATCAGGGTTGCCACAGACTTGGGAAAACCGGAAAAACTGGGAAGTCAGGGGAAAATATAAAAGAGACTAGAATTTTGAACTTTGCTCACAATGCTTGCTTCTCTTAAACTGTTCCTATTCCGAATAATTGTTATAATTTTTTAAGTATTATTCTCTGACATTTATAGTCAAGTTTTATCGTCTTTTTTCGTCATAACTGCATCTTTTTTCCAAAAATTTATTTTTAGTTAACTTTGCATTTTATTAATTGAAAATTTGCACTAAAAATTATTATATTTTACTTAGTCTCTTTTGCGTTGTTTTTAATATTAATGTAAGCTAAATTTCATAGATTAAATCTTTGCTTCTAAATGTTAAAATTTACCTTTTATTTTACATTGGTCATGGAAAATTTTTTATTTTTATGCATCTGAAAAACCTGGTTTTTCTGTGGAAATCTAGATATATATGTTTGTATTTTCGATTTGTTACACAAGTATTGTTTTCTATCTTCGGATCTATTTTGTTATTTTATCTAAATTACTACTTAATTCATTATACTATAACTAAATTACTATTTAATTCATATCGAAAGTACATAAAATGCAAATAACATGTACCAGAGAAAAATCTAAGAACTTTTTTGAGAGACTAATTGAAATCCGCGTTAAAATTTACATTGAAATCCACATTATTAAATTCCACAATAAAATCCACTTTAAAATCCACATTGAAACCACGTTGTTGAAATTCACGTTGAAATCTACGTTGTTGAAATTCACGTTGGAATCTACGTTGAAATTCACTTTGAAATCTACGTTGTTGAAATATATACATTCAAATCCACGTTGAAATCTACCTTGAAATCCATTTTGAAATCTACGTTGAAATCCATGTTGAAATTCATTAAAGTTACTAGATTTATGAAGTATTTTAATTGATTTTTAAAATGTTGCGTTAATATGGCAGAAGTAATACACATAATACACGATTTCAAGTATAGTGGTTTATTTTCTAAACTGTACTTACATATACTCTTCGTGCACTTTCATGCATTAAATTTCTACAAGAAATAAATCTGTATTAAATTAAATAATATATAAATTAAACATTACGTACATATTTTTTGCACATAAATGAACTAATTATAATTAAAGAAATATTTATTTATGTAATTGACAACTTTATTTTCTCAAATAAAGTAAGTACGTTTATACAAATGAATAAGTTTGAAATAGTCACTTCTTGCGTCAAGATAGTGGCGAGTTTGTGATACTTTAAATTTCACCGTACACTACCGCCATTACATTCATTTTCGAATTGGGCACTACGTAGCTACATCCATTTTCTGATCGTCGATAAAGTCACAGTAGAGGGAACGTCGAAAATGAATCAAATGGATGTGATGCACCAATCTGTGCTACATCCATCAATTATATAAAATTTGTATTACTTATTGTCTTAAATTTCTTATGAATTAGAATAATCTGTTCGAATAATAAATTTCAAAAGAAAAATGTGTGTGTATATATATATAATATATATATAA